GCCCATATATCACTGGTGATGGCATATCCATGTCTTTATATTCCACAATTTCGGCCTTTATCGGATCAAAGTGCGCAGATTTTACAATAACTGGAGTAGAGTAACTAGAGTAACTCGAATAAATCGAATGTTTTCCGAGATGTCAATTATTTCATTCCGTTTTACGTTTCATTTATTCTAACTCATTTCAATGAATGTCGTATGCTATGAAACACAAGACGCACTCATATTCATACAAATTCATTTCATTTTCAATGTTCCACTTACTAAACTCAGATCAATTCGATTCCATTCTTTTCAACATACCTTATGAGTGAAGCCATGCAGCTGTCTAGTACACATGTCAAGAAATATTAATTAATTAAAAACGATTTAAGATTTTTAAAAGTAATTATACTCTGTACATGAAATGTACAAGAGTATACTAGGTTTGCGCGAGCTGAAAAATGTAACAGGAAGGAGGCGTGGCAGACCCCACAAAGTATCTATATATATAAAACAGTTTGTCCTGACTGACTGACTGACTGACTGATTGGTGATCAACGCACAGCCCAAACGGTAAAAGCTAGGAAGCTGAAATTTTGCCTCAAGTATCCTATCATAGTGTAGGTGCGCACTAAGAAGGGATTTAGGAAAATTCAAGCTCCAATGGGGGGAAAACTAGCTCCAAAGTTTGTTTGAAAAATCCTAATTTCCGATCGAATTAAAACTTGGTTTCTAAAATCAATAAAAGAATACAAAGAAAGTTGCATGCTTGGTTTTTTGAATATTTTCTTGATTTTCTTAATTATTGGGGCTTTTTGGGGCACAAGAGGAAACCGCGTCAACAGCCCACAGCCCAAACGGCAAGAGCTAGAAAGCTGAAATTTAGGGTCAAGTATCCAACCATAGTGTAGGTGCGCACTAAGAAGGGATTTTGGAAAATTCTAGCTCCAAAGGGGGGAAAACGAGCTCCAAAGTTTGTTTGAAACATCTTCAGTTTTCCACCAATCAACTTTAAATTTGATTTTTATAATCTATAAAAGAATACAAACCAAACTGCTTACTCGGATTCTCGAAATTTGTGGTGGAGCTTGAATTATTGGGGTTTTAATATTTATTCACCTTTTCAAATGAAAAGTTTGTGTTATAAATTTTTTCCGATCGATTTCAAATTTGGGGACTGTAATCTACGTAACTAAATCTACAACTTTGCCTTCAAGGATTTTCAAAATATGCATTCTACAAATGAAGGCAGAACAAACAATACAAAATATCAAACAGTTGGGCATAACTAAGTATACATACAAACACACACACACACACATACAACAGCTGTTCGTGTAGTTGCGTGCAAACGATTCAAATAGCCAAAGCAAAATGTGAGACACTAATGTATGAATGTACACACATACATATGCACACATCTATGTACAGGGTGCGCCATCTTTCATGTCGGTATGTAAACATTGAATATCTTTGAAAATAAACAACCGATTTTCAAGTATGAGATATTTTAATTTAATTTGGTTCTGTACAATTTCTTCAACTGTTCACTAATGACAAAGTTATTCAATATTTACATACCGAAAAATAGATGGCGCACCCTGTACATGTACACATCTATGTATGTATGTATGTTCATTCGTCTTGCACTGACAGAGCAAGAAATGTTAATTAATTAAAAATTATTTAACATTTTTAAAAGTAATTTGTTCTTTGTTTAGTACATTTGGCATTACGGCTTTCATTAGTAACTTTATGCAGGAACAACAAATTACAAAGAACGCAAATATCAAATAGTTGGGGAGATCATATACACACACTCACACACAGAACAAGCAACAGTTCGGGTATATGTATGAAAATGTAAAGAGAAACATGCATGCATATGTACACACATACATATGTATGTACAACTAAGTATACATACACACACACACATACAAGCAGCTGTTCGTGTAGTTGCGTGCAAACGATTGAAATAGCCAAAGCAAACTGTGAGACACTAATGTGTGAATGTACACACATACATATGTACACATCTATGTACATGTACAAATCTATGTATGTTCATTCGTCTTGCACTGACAGAGCAAGAAATGTTAATTAATTAAAAATTATTTAACATTTTTAAAAGTAATTTTTTCTTTGTTTAGTACATTTGGCATTAGGGTTTTCATTAGTAACTTTATGCAGCAACAAAGAACAAAGAACGAAAATATCAAATAGTTGGGGACATCATATACACACACTCACACACAGAACAAGCAACAGTTCGTGTATATGTGTGCATATGCATGCATATGTATGCCTGTGTACGTACATATATAGCATGTACATTCGTATGTATGTATGTAAACAATGGACAACCAAGCACTTTTGTTTGATTGTAATAAATAATGTTCTATGGTTTTAAATCAAATGTTTAAAACGAAAAACAACAACAACTGCAAGTCATTGGCTCGCGCTTTTTCTTTCGTTTTGATCATTTACGCCTGTTAATTTCAAAGGCAAAATGTCAAAAGTTTACAGTTACCGTCACTAGGCAACGACTACGTAAGCGATAGTAAAGCAGAAGCCGAAAGCGGACCTACGCATATTCTTCTTCACGTTGCGGGCAGATGTACATATGTATGTTTGTATATGATTTGTTCTAATTGATCTCAATAAATTATAAGATGTTATTATTTAAATTGTCTGTTAATTGCATTCAAACTTCGATGGAAGTATTGATTGTATCGACGGATTCAACTATCGATAGTTTTGATGCTCTAACACATAGAACATCCGACACATGCCCATCTCTAGCATCTCAGCTGATCGCATATTTACAGCGACTTACCGTTTTAGTGTTAGCTAACAACGCTACAAATGTATTCTGAACAAATCTAAGAGTCATTTACCGTTAAGCCTATTTTGTGAGTGTATTCATGCGATTTACAAAAGCAGAAACACACCTTTTATATTCACAACAATCATTTTGGAATTGAAGACACAAATGAGTGTTGAATTAAAAAATTTAATACATACTTATATAAGTATGTATGTATATAAGCGGATAACGCCTGCATGAAAAATTTAAATGTATGTACATATCAGCGTTGCCGAACGCTCCAATTTTGGCGGGACGTTCCTATTTATAAATCAAAATTAAATGTCCCGCGTCGGACTTTTCGGGGATAACTCGACCGTGCGTACAACGTGCTGAGGAAGCACACAGTTAAGTCAGGACTGGCATTCCGCCCGGTGCGTAACGAAGATATGTACATATGTATGTATGTACGTATAACCATACATAGTACTTATTGTACTATATTTGCTATTTGGAAAATGAACTCTTTAAAAAACTTTAGAGAGCGTTCGAAAGAAGAATATCATATAGTAATTAAACTTATAATTTTAAGCACATTTTACTTAGCCCAGCAAAGACGGGCGAGACCTGCTAGTACTGTATAAAATAAGCTGTGAGCCACTGTAGCTTTTGAAATGTGGACAGTATTATCGAGCGGGGAGAGTAGTACTTATCGTACATGATTTAAAAGCTGTTTTCAAAACTCGTTCTTCGCAGAATTTCATTTTTTGTATGTGAAATTGAATATTTGACCAATTCCAAACCATAACCATAAATGTAATATCTGAACCAGGTTGTACCCACAGCTGTTGTTGTTGTTTGTTGACTTAATTATGTGCTGCACACATATGTCTCTATTTATGTATGTATTGAATATTTTTTATTTATTTACAACTTAATTTATTTGAAATTAATATTTTAATTATTATTATTATTTTAATAATTGAGCCCGCTCAACTCTAGCATTCCTTTCTATATTTGCACAATAATTCCTCAGATTATTTAGCTAATATTAAACGTAAAAGGATCATTATTTGTATAAAATATAGTATATCGTTGCCAACTAAAAAAGGGTTAACTTTGAGTGCATATCACCTAAACTATAGATCTGATTTCAACTGTAGTTATTATGAGAGTCGAAAAATACCCTCAATTTTAGTCGTCCGGTGGTTTCGGCTACAGTTGTTTTTGAAAGTCCCAAAAAATACGTCTCCAAGCCGGCTGTGAGACACAGCTGACTGTCGATGCCTACATTTGACTGACTAATTGCACTTAAATTCTGTAACGCACTATGATAAATAATAAACATATACCATTAGCATTAATATTAGCCCACGAGCATTTGCGGAAACGCCAATTAATTGTTGTACAAATACATCACAAATGTTTAAGAATCGCATCTAATCCGAAAAATCGAAATTATGTTATAAAAAATGTAAAATAAATTTAATTTTTAATAAGCAGCATTCTTTTGTGGGATCAGATGCGCTTCTTAAACATTTGAGTTGTATTTTTTCAACAATTGGCGTTTCCGCAAATGCTCGCGGGCTAATATTAATGCAAATGGAATATTTTTTTAATTTAACATAGTACGTTACAGTATTTAAACAAAATTAGTCAGTCAAATATACTCGTCGACAGACAGCTGTTGCAGACAGCTGAGTGCGTTACAGGATTTTTACAAAATTAGTCAGTCAAATGTGAGCGTCGACAGTCAGCTGTTGCAGACAGCTGAGTGCGTTACAGGATTTTTACAAAACTAGTCAGTCAAATGTGAGCGTCGACAGTCAGCTGTTGCTGACAGCTGGCTTGGAGGGGAAGTTACAAAAAAAATGAAATCTTTCGAAGTTCTGTGGCACCGGCGTATTTTTTGGAAGTTTTCTGTGGCATCCCTGTATGAGTGTGTATGTCGGTGTGCGTGTGGAAAAGCACTAAAGCGGGAGATCGAAGGGTGCATTAGAGTCCATCCAAGTTTGTTTATTCTAGCTCTTACACTTTCTGATATCCTTGCGTTCATACAGAGAGACGGACATGGCTATATCGAATTGTCATACTGATCAAGAATATAATTTAGGGGGACTTCCAAACCTTTTTTTGTGTACTCCATAAATCAGCACTATACCAGTATAGGGTTTGTCGATGGTGTATTATGTATACAAAAAAAAAATTGGTTGAAGCGATTACAAAATTTATTGATCTTCATGGAGAATAGTTTCAAAAGTAATGAACTCGTTTTTTATGATAAGCTACTGACATTTTAGGAGCAAAATAAAAACATTTCAATTATAATTAAATCGATAAATATCAGAGGAACCCGGCCATTAGTTGGTCCAATTAGTTGTGTCAGTAGTTCCATTGAACTAATTTTGAACGATTCTACAAAATCCGTGAACAAAATTTTACAACATATTAAAAAGAAACGTGAATGCCGACATTTCTGTGCGTTACAAGCATTATAATATTATAAAACGATGCAGTTTATCATAAAAAACATGTAGATTTAGTAGTCATCAAGATCGACGTCTTCCAATGGCTCGTCGGCTTGTAACGATTGAAAATCTACTTTATAGCGTAAAATGCCTATACATAACACAATAGGGTACACAGGAAGAGCAAATAGCATCATCAAGTTAGCCATGATATTATTAAAAGCAGCATGGAGAAGGAATGAAAACAGGAGAAAAGTGAGAGTTAATTCATTTTTGTTTAAATGATACTGTATATAATATAGTATAACTAATTTTGTTATAATATGTTTTTCACTTACCGCCTATTCCACCGAATCCTCGAACAAACTGACTGCCTTCTTGAGACTTGTCGGTAATAATTTCAAGAGTAGCACCAAACATCTTGTAGTTATTCGCCAGCCATTCCAAGAGCGGCTGCGACTCAATCAACTCCATTTCGACACCACTCTAGAAGAAAGCTACATATTAATTAACGGAAAGGATAAGGAAATCCTAGCCCTAATGAACAATTTAATGTAAAATCTCTATACATATAAAACAGTTTATCCTGATTGACTGATTGACGGCAAGACTTAGGAAGATGAAATGTACGTACAAGTTTCTTTTCACAGTGTAAGTGAGCACCAAGCAGCAATTTTGGAAATTTCGAATTCTAAAGGGGAAAACACGTCCAACGTTTGGGTGAAAAATCTACAAGTTTCATCTGCTTAACTTCAAACTCAGCTTGTCCACTTTCAGAATACAAAACAAGAAAGGAATTAAAAGACTGACTGTCGACGCTCAGCGTTAGCAACAGCGGACTGTCGACGGGTACATTTGACTGACTAATTGTGTTTAGATTCTGTAACGCACCTAACACAGTTAAATTAATATTTTAATATTTTAATAAATTAGCCCACGCTAATTTGCAGAAACGCCAACTAATTGTTGAAAATTTACAACGTCAATGTTTGAGAAGCGCATCTGATCCCATTTAAGAATTATATTGCTTATTAAAAATTTAATTTTTTTGTAACATTTTTTTTAACATCAAGGAGTTGGATTAAAATTGTGTCAAGTTGATCTATGTTTTCCCTTGTAAGAAACTAAATTGAATTCAGAAAGTACAAGCATGTACTTACATTTTGTTTCCCTGGTTCGCATTGTAAATTTAAATGGGAATTTATGACCAGACGAAACCCAATTTTCGCCAAGTTTGTTTAATTAATACACAGTTATTTGGTACTTATTTGAAACAAGAATTGCGTCAATTATATATTTTATTATACTCTGTACATGAAATATACAGAAGTAAGGTGCGCGAAATAATTAACTGGGACAAAGACTTGGCACATTATATTGTCCAAAAAATGCAATTCTTTTTTTTCCCTCTTCCTCCTATATTTTGGTTGTAGTATGCTTGAGCTGTAAGCAAAGAATTTTCCAAATGTTGACGCTTGTGAACGAAATAATTAACTGGGACAGATTAGTTTGCTTTCATTTGCAAATAGTTCATGACGTAAAATTTAAACTTTTTATACAGAATTCTGTTTAATCTATTATATTAATTAAAAATAAGTAAGTTTCAACTAAAATTATTATTTGTAGCAATTCCAAACTGATTTTTTTTGTTAAGAAATGTCGAGTTTCGCCCGTTTAAGCAATAAAGAACGTGGAAAAATATTGGCACTGCATGTTTTATAACGCATAAAATGAATGCACAAAATTATGTACAGCTGTTGGAGAGTGTTTTAGTGCAATTTGAAGAAACTTATTTCGGTGATTCCTGGATTTTTCAGCAGGATAATGCACCAATTCATACTGCACATCTCACCAGAGCTTTCTTAGAGACTCACAAATTCCCGTTTTAGAATGGCCAGCACGCAGCCCGAACTTAAATCCAATAGAAAATCTTTGGGGAATCTTTATCTCAACGGGTTTATGCCAACGGAAGGCAGTTTGGAACTCTAAAAGAGTTAAAAGAAGCCATAATTAGGGAATGGGAAAAATTTGACATTCAAATGCTCCAAAACTTGGTCAGTTCAATGCCAGGGCGAATAATTAAGGTGTTAAACAACAACGGGTGTTCCATTTGGAATATATTCATAGTTTAAAATTCTTTGTTTTACTCATTTTCAGTTATAAGATACAAATAATGAAATTGTCCCAGTTAATTATTTCGTTTGAAAATATTTTGTTTAATTTTTTAAATATATTTTCTTAAGTTTTATTTGTTTTATTTTAGTTGAAGTCTATTCATAATTTTATTAAGTTTAAGCAGTAATTTGTTTCATGAAAATAAATTGAACGGTTTAGTTGTTATACTCTAAAACGTAGTGTCCCAGTTAATTATTTCGCGCACCTTATATTAGGTTTGCCGGAGCTGAAAAATGTAACAGGCAGAAGGTGGCGTGGCAGACCCCACAAAGTATATATATTCTTGATCAGCGTGACAAGACGAGTCGATCTAGCCCTGTCTGTCTGTCCGTCTGTCCGTCCGTATGAACACCTGGATCTCAGAGACTATAAGATATAGAGACACCAAATTTTCCACAAAGATGCCTTATGTGTGTATTCTATACGAGTTTGTTTTATTTTTTTGATTTTTCCCTCCACTTCCCCCTATGGGGGTTTTCCCGATTTCCATTCGTATAATCATGAATACGCAGAAAATGTATATTTTGGAATTTCCCTCCCTCCCCCCTCTCCCATGCAAATCGCGATTTTCTCTAACTCCCGTAATTCATGGAATTTCGAACTAAAATTTTGAAAATACCCCAGTTGGTTATTATGTGTCCGTGTGCCAAGTTTCACTATGATAGACCGATTTAACAAGAAGTTATAGCCATAAATATATTTACTGCTGCAGCGCTGCTCAAGCGCTGCCCGCGGCTGTTGTTGATGCTGGTGCTTTGGTTGACTGCACACATGTTTACACAGGCACGAATTGATGCGCATAGGCATACATACACTCACACAGACGCAATTGCTATGTAAATGTGCAATTATACACCCTTTACGTGAGTACGAATACCGAGAAAGGTAAAATCGATCCAATTTTTTTTTGTTCAATTTTCTTAATTTTTTTATTTTCTATAATTATTGTAAACATATGTACAGAGTATTTCAAAGTCGGGACACCCGACTTTACCTTTTTTACTTGTTTTTAACTGTTGTTTGACTCACAACTCTAGACTTAACTCAGCAAAATGTGATGTTCGAAAAATGTAATGTTCTATTTGGGTCAATAGGTAATCTCTAATGTACGGTTCTTTTGGATGCTGTGTATGAATGCTGGTGTTATTTATTTTTATTTATTTCTGACAAATATCTGTCAATATCATAAGCAACCAACATAACATAAAAACATTCGGGATATGCATTCAGATATTAAAAAAAAAACAATAGAAACAAAAAAAAATTTTAAATAAATAGAATTACAATAATTTAAACACAAAAAAAGTAAAGATATTAAAGAGCAACCAAAATATTATTCAGACCTTAAGAAATTAATTATGCATGATTTAATCGAACTAACAGAGCTCTCATGGCCAAAGAGATGGCTCAATTGATTATAGTTGCTACATAGACCCGAAACGAACTGTACAAAGCGTAGTTCGTGGTACAGCGATTAAGGCTTAAGGGAGCAACAAATCTTGTAGGTCTTTGAGGAACCGTAAAGTTAATTTGGCTGACAAGCACCGAAGACTCGATTTTGCCAGAAATTAATTTATGTATGAAAACAACAGCTAATAAGATCCGGCGATTCGCAAGTGATGGAAGACCTAACAATTGTAGCCTGTGAAAATATGGTGGTAAAGGGTCAGTTCTACTACCAGACCACGTAAGGCAAACAAAAGAAATTGCTTTTGAACAGATTCAATGCGATCTTTATGAATTGCATATTGCTGGCCCATCGCCCAACGTTTAATAAAGCCTAGAGGGCCCTTTGCTTTATTTACAATGGTGGAGATGTGATCGTCAAAACAAAGTTTAGCATCAAACAGTACACATAAGTCGCTAACAGTGTAAATCCGTTATAAAGGAATGTTATTTAAATAATATGAAACGAAGTAAGGCTTGCATCGGTGGAACGTCATTAGCTTACATTTAACAAAATTTATGTTCAACAGATTCCGAGAACACCACAATTCGAGGGCATCGAGATCAAACTGTAAATTATTATAAAACTGAACATCATTATAAAAAAGGCAAAGTTTTACGTCATCGGCATACATTAGGACACGAGAGTGAGTTAAGGATGATGGAAGATCATTTATAAAAAGAGTAAACAGTAGAGGACGTACCTCTGTGGAACCCCCGAAGTTACTTTGATACTTTTGATGGTACGCCGTTAAAAATTACACGCTGTGTTCTGCCAAACAAATAACTAGATATCCATACAATAAGATTTTTGGGAAATCCCAAACGCCCCAAATTGTGGGTCAATAGCTCATTGGCAGAATCAAAAGAATCAGTTTTTCCAGAAGCTTAGGGATAACTGAAAGTTTAGCAATTCCTTTGTAATTTTCAATATCAGATTTAGATCCTTTTTTGAAGAGAGGGCAAATCTAAGATCCTTTCCAGATATAGGGAAAGCAGCAACTGTCAAGTGACAAGGAAAAAAGCTTGAAAAGTGGTTTAATTAGGGCAACAGTACAGAAATTCAAAACGCACCTTGGTATACCATCCGGACCGGGTGCAGAACTTAAGTGTTTGAAGTTTTGACAAAATGGAAAGTTAATCAACAACAGGCATGAATATGCAGTTAGCCTCAGGAATATTGGTGTAAAAGTAGATGTTGGAAGACCAGAAACAATTTGTTGTGTAAGTATCTTGGAAAAAAGTGGAAAAATGGTCAGCAATACCAGCATCTGTGTTAGCAGAAAGTCCTTTAAAAGACAACATTGATGGAAACACAGTCGCATTTCTTTTAGAGTTAACAAAACTATAAAATTGTTTTGGGTCTTGACTAAAATTAAGTCTGCATCGTGTTAACATTGATTGTTTAATATTAAAAATTGTGTACGAGTTACGCTGAATTTATAAGAATCGGAAATGGACCCAGGGTTTTTAAAACGCATATATAACCTGGACTTAAAATTTTGTAAATTGGAAAGCTCTTTAGTGAATCAAGGCACACCACGCGAAGGCAGTAGAGTACAAATAGGAACGCAAGCGTCAAGCGCAAAGTTAAGAGCACCATAAACTATATTAATGGCTACGTCCATATCGTTACACGCATATAAATGAGGCCAATATAACTGGGCTAAAATATAATTCAATTTCATAAAATTAGCTTTTTTAAAGCACGCGCGTGTTTTGATACGAGGCACGGCGGAGTACATTTCAATATTAACAACCAACTCTAAGGTTGGATGGTGAACATCTTCGGGAAGGGATGACGTCAGTGTTCTGTTTAAAACCATATTTGACACATCATTTACGAATCGTGTCTATGCGTGTTT